AGAAGAAACTACAGAGGAGTAGCAGCCAGAGAGGTAGGAGGAAAACCAGGAGAATATAGAGTCCTGGGAGCCAAGAGAGGAGAGCATGTCAAGGAGGAGTTAATTGTGTCACAGGTTCACTTCTGAGAGTCCAAGTCAGATGAGTATAGAAATCTGCAGATTATTAGATTTGATAATATGGAGGTCAAGAGGAGCTTTGGTGAAATGGTGGGAGCCAAAGACAGATTAGAATGGGCTTAGTAAAGAATGAGAGGCAAGAAAGAGGAAGACCTAGACACAGTAATCTGACTAAAAAGGGAAGTAGAAGAGTATGTTGTGGGATACATAGCTGAAGAAGTGGGTCAAGGAATGAAAGCACATTTGAATGTGGATAGAAGTGATCCCAAGAGGGGATGAGAGAAAGCGGATGACCAAAGGAAAAAATTCTTTGAAAAGAGAAGTAGAGACAGACCTTAGAAAGGTGGAAAAACTTCTCAGTTATAACAAAGGGAAGAAGGTGATGAAGATGGTGGGTTGGGGATCTGGTGAAAGAAGATGAGAGGGCTCCTATCTAATAGCTTAAATTTTCTCTAAAATGGAAGATAAGGTCATATGCCAAGAGTGAGAGGTAGATAGGCCTAGGAAGGTTTGAGAAGAGAGGAGAAGGTGTGAACGAGTCATGTGAGAAGGGGGAAAACAAATATGCTAGAAAATCATAGGAGGATGGCTAGGCAGTGCTGGGAGTCCATTTGAAGTATGGAAGCGTGAGTTTAAAGGAAGTATCCTGATGGTCATGCCTTCCCTATAAATCCTGCAGCCCACCTAAGGTGTCTGGGACTCCCACTGGGAGTCATGCCATGGGAGGAGCCCTCGAACAAGGCAAAACAGTGAGCAAAGCTTTTCAGCCAGGACTCTGAAGGACTGCAGCTGCTACCCTCCCCAACCTCACAGGCTATACCAGTGAGCCTTATATTTTCTCATTCTTGGCTTCAGCTTCCCATCCCTTAGTTTTCCTCAGACCTTGTAAAATTTACATTTTATCAGGCTGGAAACCAAAACCCATTGTGAACAAGAAAGATAACACTCTAAAAATATCAGCTATTCATAACATTTCTCCTTTTGCAAATTATATTATCCACTCCCTTCCATGTGACCTTTGCCTAATGTGCAGTTTCCTATTTGTCCAAATGATTGGAACAGAGCAGAAAAACATAGCTACAGGCCAAGGGCAGGGAAAGCAATTCTTTTATGAATATATTTATATATTAGAAATGAAATATTGGTATCAGCCTTTTAATTTCTTTTATCTATAGCTGAATAACCTAAGAGGTTAGTGACAAATATGTATGAAGGGGGACAGTGGAGTGTAGAGGAAAAGAACCTGCCTGAGGCAAACATAGGTTCAAATTCCAGCTGCAATACGTGCAAATTCTTAACACTTCCTGAACTTTAGATTCCTCAACTGTAAAATGAGGGTAATAATATGTACCTGATGATGGTAGTGTAGGAATTAATGAAGAAATGTAAGTAAACTTTTTGGAATATAGTACTCAACAAATGATGTTTATCCTCCTCCTCCTCATCACTATTACTTATGTAATAAATTTATTGGTAAATTTGGGGAGCAGTCTGAGGTTCTTCCAAACCTGATCCATAAAAAAATCCAAGCTGATAAATTACCAGGTGATTATTTATATCTTTAAAGGAGAACTCGATTTATATTACTGTGACACTTCAGAATCAGAGGAACCCAAACTTCCACTATCCTCGGGTCACTGCTCTCTAGAGACTAAAACTTTTCTCTGGTACAGCCAGGAAGCCCATTTCAGTGACCCCTTAACATAAGGATCTTCTGTCCAGGGCCCAACTGTCCCAGGTTATATTGATCACCTTGTCTAACTCACTCACCTATGGGGCTTCAGTTCTTAACATGCTTTTACATACATTGCCTCACTTGATCCTCCCAATGATAAGAAGAGCTAACATTTATCTTATGTATCAGGCTCTGTGGTAAGATTTCACTTAAGACTCATGGATGACCCATAAGATAGGTAATACTATTGTGCTCAGGTTAGCAGGTGAGGAAACCAAGGCTCAGGGCTGTTAAATAACAGCCCAAGATTACACAACCAGTGTGTGGTAGAGTTTGGATTTGACCCTGGGTAATCTGACACCTGCCCATGCTCTTGACTGCACTAATTGCCACCCATGCAGGATATTATCCCATCTGTGAGATGAGAAACCCAAGCTCAGGTTGATTAAGTGACTTGCCTAAGTTCACATTATTGGTACTTAGTCGGCCTGGCTGGGACTCTCACCTTGGTCTTCCAAATTCATGTCAAGATGCATTTTTCACACCTCCCTGAGCCCTCCCTTTCAGTAGGAGTTTTCCTGGGGCTCTGAGTGGTGTGTGGGGTTCCAGGGTATCTGCTGAGTGAAGCCATTCTTGCTGTTAGGATGGACCATGGCTTATGATGCTTTTTTTAAAGGGTGCTTGTTTAGAATGTGAGATGGGCTGGGATAGCCTTTGGTTTAATATTGAAAGTAGGGTCGGGAAGTAGGGGAAACACACAATATGTAAAATGTTTGCTCTTATCTCCTGATCCCTAGACTGAGCTAATAGTTCCTTATATATCTTCTCTAACTACCTGGAAGTTTCTTGCTGTGTATCTTTAAAACTCAGCTCAAATACCTTCTCCTCTGTAGAATCTTTCCCAGTGTTTTCCCCTCTCCTACATCTTCTGGTTAAAGTTGATCTCTCCTTCCCTCATGTCCTCATTGTGCCTCTGTTACAGCATAACTCAGAGAGAGGGGATTTTTATGTTTTATATACCTATCCATTCCTCCATATGACTGTGATCACAGAGAGAGAGACTGTGCTTGAGTTATAATTTTGCTTAGCATACAGTAAGTTCCTTTAAGTGTTTGTTGAGTTACACTGACTTCACTGTGGCTTATCCAGTCTGCCTATTAATCTTGTAAAATAGGCAGGTCCTTTCTGTAAATGGCTATTTCCTGAGAACCCAGTGTTTGGGTTGAGCTGAAGGAATCTCTATTCATGGCTGTAAACGTGGAGCTGAGCACGGCCTGTGCCCACCCTAGAGATTTCTGGGCCAAACACAGATGGATCTTGGCATCTATTCCCAGCCTGAAATCTTGCGTGCTTTCTTTCTGGGATGATTCATTAAAATTAGGTTCATTGTTTTCTCATGTCCACCGGGTCAAAATTGTTTGTCATTGTGCTTAGTTCTCAGTAATGTGAGGGGTCCTTCAGTCAAAATGTATTGTTTAACTGGGAGTTATGTTAGAGTCTTTTTTTTTCCCATGTGGTAAACAATATTTGAAAGTGACTGCAATTCTTTCCAGTGAGCAGATCTTACCTTTTTGGGTTCAGTGATGTCTTGATCACCTCAGACAAGCCCAGCCCAGGGGAACTGAGCTAGAAGACCTTCCTTACTCCTGTTACTCAGTCTAAGATTCCTGGGGTACACTACTAGTTGATGGAGGGCTAATTCATTTCAGAATACTATCAGCAAAGGGGAGTTCACTATACATATTTGATGTCATACAAAACCTTTAGGCAATTTACCCTGGCTGCTTCCAAAATGTAGAAAAATGGTTATTTTAGAGATTATAATGGAAATTTCTCTGTGATACATCATTATAATTGCCCCTTTTGTGAAACTAATGCCGTGCATCATTCACATCCATGGCTTTGCTAATCCCTCAGTGAACTGCTCTGTGTACACCCTCTGCTCCCATCCCCTGCTGTACTTCATGCCCAGCCAGTCACCAGGTCATTCAAAATAGCTCGCAAGACTTCATGGGTGCCTGGGTGGCTCAGTTGGTTAAGCATCTACCTTCAGCTCAGGTCATGATCCCAGGGTCCTGGGATCGAGTCCCACATTGGGCTCCCTGCTCCGCACAGAGCCTGCTTCTCCCTGTGCCTCTGCCTCTCTCTGTCTCTCATGAATAAATAAATAAAATCTTAAAAAAAAAGACTTCTTAAAAAAATAGCCCTTAAATGCATCCTCTTGTCTCCAGTCATACTGCACTTCTTTTCATTCTTCTAGTTGGAGTGTCTATTAAGAGGTTAGGAGCATGAGTTCTGTTATCTACTACCGTGTAACCTCAGGCAAGTGATTTCTCTGAGTTTATTTCCACATCTATAAAAGAGGGATATTAGTAGTTAATATTAATAGTTAATATTGATATTAATACCTACCTCATGGGTGTATTGTAAGGATTAAATGAGATTAATGTAAAGCAATTAGAACAGGACTTGGCATAAAGTAAGCATGCTGTAAATAGTAATTATCACCATCATCTTTCTTTTTTTTTTTAGATTTTTTTTTTTTAATTTATTTGACAGAGAGAGGGACACAGTGAGAGAGGGAACACAAGCAGGGGGACTGGGAGAGAGAGAAGCAGGCTTCCCGCTGAGCAAGGAGCCCGATGTGGGGCTTGATCCCAGGACCCTGGGATCATGACCTGAGCCAAAGGCAAACACTTAATGACTGAGCCACCCAGGTGCCCCATCACCATCATCTTATTATTTCTTAACTACTCCATACTTTCTCACTTCAGAGCCTGGAATGTTGTTAACCTCCAGTTTACTATGTAAAACTTTCACGTTTCACTTTATTTTTATTTATTTTTAAAGATTGTATTTATTTATTTGTCAGAGAGAGAGACAGAGAGCACAAGCAGGGGGAGCAGCAGGCAGAGGGAGAAGCAGGCTTCTCACTGAGCAGGGAGCCCAATGAAGGATTCGATCCCAAGACCCTGGTATCATGACCTGAGCCGAAGGCAGATGCTTAACCAACTGAGCCACCCAGGCGTCCCTAAGGTTTCACTTTAAAAGTAAATTCCTAGAGGAAATATTTTCTGAGGCACCCCTCCCCCAACTATACCAAATCTGGGTTAAGGTGCTCATTTTCTTGTCTACTGTTGCTTTAGCAACCTGTACTTCCTTATGATATCATCCATCACATTGTATTATAATAGGCTGTTTCCCATCTGCTTTCTCCATCAGACTGTGAACTCCTGAGTATATTCTAGATACCTAAACCTTAGTGATTAATTGTCAAAAGAATGAATGAATAAGTCTATAAATAGTTTTCCTATTTATGGAACTCATCATGAGCTTTATTTTGTTTTAATCTTTAAGATTAACTTTAAATATTACTCTGTGTATTTTCCTCTAATTCTGCATATCCCTAGATCTTCCCTGAGTGAAGAACAACTTACTATGAAGTGACCTACAATAGCAACACTCAGAATTCTCTCAAATCACATTGGGCAGTGCAATCAGCTCTCAGGTATCTGCTTGAGAACTAGCTACAGGTAATTTGATCTTCTTATCAACTTTCACATGCTTAGCCAATTCCCTTCCTGCCAGGTCACATTTCCCTGTATACTTAGGGAAATGTGAAATCACTTTAAATCAAGCTAAATATAACAATCTAGAAAGCAATGTATATTAACTTATAATGCATTTTTTCCTCTTTAACAATATGGAGAAGGTAGCTAGAATTGACTGTACTTGTGTTGAAACAGAAGATAGAAATTTATTTTAATTCACAGATTGTCTCATTGTTAGCCTCTTGGCAATCTATTAATATTTCCAGTTTCATGAATTCAGATGGAAATCACTTAGCACTTTTCATAAATCCAGGAGGGGGAAGCTACTGTTAGTGTTAGAATCCCTCCTCTTTTGAATATGTCCTCCCCTTTTTGCAGCCATCTTTATAGGCTGGGTATATTCCCAATAGGCAAGTCAGCCACAGCATGGGTAAAAATCATGGTAGTCTCTCTGGGTAGAAAAGAGTGAGCTGCAGATACCTTCCTTGAGCTTATTGCTTAACTTGTCTCAATCCTCACTCTGTCCCTGTCTCTCCTGGTTCTAAACTCTTGGAATGGTGATGCCACTATTGATCCTCATTCATTGTTGCTTCTGATTTGGGGTCAATGCTTGCTGCTCTTAACTTTGTATCTCACTTTCTCTTACCAAGGATAGCTCAGGTTCTTGATGATCTCCACTGCCTCAGATGGAAGCTGTCAGCTGGCATGATCAATAGTTCTACAGAGTCCAGGCCCTGCTCCATCGTGATTAGAGTCTTTTTCAAAGAGTGAGGACATAGATCTTTGTCCCTGATTGGTTCTATAGGCCAAGAGTAGAGAATGGGGCCTTGTTGGGGGCCCTTTTGGAGAAGAGGTTCGTGCACCCAAAGGCAGGATTGGAAGGGAGAATTTTAGTGTCTTCTCACTCAGGGCATCAAGTAACCATTTCTGGAGAGATTCAGAGATCGTGGAGTAAATATTATGACTCTAGGGACTTGATATGTCTTTGTAACCTTGGTTACTTCCACATCATTGTTAGTTTTTCACCCCTTTACAATTTCTTTGTAATGATCTAGAAAATAAGGAAACAAAGATTGAAACAAAAATGCCCTACACAACATGAAGGACCTGTATGCTTACAGAGGGTGAGGTGTCAAAGTAAGGAATTCCTGGACAAACTTCAAGACTAAAGTAGGTGAGTCACTGAGTGATAGGTTAGTGGTTACACATACTGAGAGGTGAGTAAAACAGGCTGAGTCTGGGGGGTGGGGAGCTTGGGAGCTTGTCTGTACTGAAAAGGGACCCAACATAGACTTTTCTAGTCAGGTCAAGCAAAACTATTCTAACAGCAATGAAAAATGAAGGACTAAAGCTGTCTTAAGGCAAAGAAGAAGGAAGAATAAAGGTGTATATTCTACCAAGTGAGAAAAGACACAAGGTGAAAGTTCTGAGAGGTGACAGCTGTGATCCAGATGTTTTCCAGCAAGCAAATGAAAGAATTTGAAAAGCAAGTTATAAACTCTTCTGAGTGTAAAAACAGCCTGCCTTGCTCTGGCTGAGGATGAAAAGACCTGCAAATTGCACAGATGCCTAGAAAAATAGTGTCTGCATGGCAGACACTATTCATTGCCACTCCAGTACTCAATCCTCCTACCTGTTTCCTCACAGCAAATGTGATTTTGCTCAGAAATTTATTCTTCTTCACAGAGCCACTTTGCTTCATGGGAAGCTGACTCTTTGTCCCCATCTCCAGGGCACGGTTTAAACCCATGATGACAATCCTATTCCCAAAGCCTGTGTTTGGTTTAGAAAGGAACTATGTTCCAGATTTACTAACAAGATAAGGGAGACTAAAAAAAAAAGTTTCTGGGTTTGTTCATAAAAAAGAAGCATGGAAAGAGATAGTCCTCTTCTTCTAAATACTTCATGTCTGGATGAATACTTGAAAATAGTAGCCATTTGCCACAAGCCTGCTGATAAAGTCAATGTATAAAGTGGGCAGAAGCAAGCAAGGAAATTGTAGAGGCTGAGCTGGGGCCCTGCTGTACTATACCTGGAAAATTCCTACCTCTGTACACCCTCCGCTCCCATCCCACACTCTACTTCACGTTGGACTTACTATTTAAGCCCCTTCCGGTTAGGGCTTTCTTGTATCTGTAGCCCAAAGAATCCTAACCAAGAGAGAAAGTGTCTGTCTTCTCTGGGCTCTTCTGAGATTGAGGTACACTTGGACTCAGCCACAGCATCTTCCTGGTCCAGATTGCAAACTGACTCTGAAATCTTTGTGGGTCTCAAAGTCCCATGTATTTTCCTTAGAACTTAATTTGCTTTCCATCACATTTTGGGAGTAAGGATGGGAAGAAAAGTGAGTTAGGGAAAATTTTCTCAGAGATTCCCAGAGTTAAGAGGAAGATCAACAAACTTACTCTTCCAAAAGTGCAGGCAGTGCTGAGGTGACAGGTAGGTTGCCTTTCCCATTGGGTGATTCTGACTGGATGAAAAACAGGAGACAGACAATTGAAGATCAGGTAGGAAGGAAGAAGCCAGAGCTGCTACGTCTCTGATGATGTGGGGAAGGGGCTGCTGCTCTCCCAGCTCTTCCCCCACCACCATGCTTTCTGATCTGCATCTGAACCCAGGCGTTGGGCCTTTCCTGTCCTCCATTCCTTAGTGCCCCCTGAGGCCCATGCAACTTGTACCTTTTACTTCTCCTCCTAAGTTTCCCTGAGTGAAGAATTTACATTTTGAGGCCCCATTCTGGAGCAGAGCCTCAGTTTTTCCTCATTCTCAGGTTTACTGACTTGGACTAAATACCAGCAGGCCTCCTAGCAAACAGAGGCCCTTCTCTGCCCTGGGGATGTAGCTCCAAGCATAATACTCAGGAGATGCCTGTCATTACTAAAACCCCCCTGTTTTGTTACAACAGATTTGGTTTAAGAAATGGTTCTCACTTCTGGCTGCATCTTAGAATCACTGGGGAAGATTTAAAGTACTGATCCAATTCAGAATCTTGGGGTGAGGCGTGGGCAATGTTTTAGAAGTACCTTGTGTGATCTTAATGCATATCCCTGGTTGCCAACTTTTAGTCTAAAGGAATATACAGTTGACCCTTGAACAACATAGGTTTGAACTGTGCAGGTCTACTTATATATGGATTTTAAATACAGTACAATACTGTAAATGTATTTTCTCTTCCTTATGATTTTCTTAACATTTTCTTTTCTCTAGCTTACTTTATTATAAGAATATACTATATAATACATATAACATGCAAAATATGTGTTAATTGACTATTTATGTTATTGGTAAGGCTTCCGATCATCAGTAGTTTTTAGGGAGTCAAAAGTTATACACAGATTTTCAACTGTGTGGGGTGGGTGCCCCCAACCCCTGCATTGTTCAAGGGCCAACTGCATGTTTGGAAATAATATTCTTACATTTAGTATAGTATTGGAAATAGGTCCATTAAACACACTAGCTAGACCTCCCTAAGCTCCTTTAACCAAAAAAGTTTTTTAGGTTTTAGTGAGTGATTTGGGAGTTTAGGATAATTTCATAGATGATTGAAAGAGAGGTGAAAGAAGCTATTGCTACATACTGGCACAATAGAGCTTGAATCTACTTTACCTATTGCTTACACAATCAGATTGCCTTATAGAGTAGTGCTGGTCATGAACACAGAATAGAGAAGCAACTGAAGAAAGAATTAGAAAAGTTTTAAATAATATTAACTAGATCCACAAAAGCCTGGGATGTAGAAAATATTTTGTTATATAGGAACTGTGTATGTTTAAAATAATTGAAATGAATTTTTTTCTGATTATTAGCAATAGATTCATATTATAGAAATATAAAAAGGCATCAGGAAGAAAATAAAAATCACCTGTGGTTTTACCATTGCCCAGGGTATCCATTAATAGTTTTACATATATTCTTCTAGAATCTGCTATATCTACACATAGAAAAATACTCTTAAAAAAAAAAAACCCTACAAAACAGAATTCTACTGCATATACTGTTTTTAATTCCTTTTATTATGGACATTTTTCATGTTACTTTTAACAACTGCACAGAAATCCCTTTTTAGGGCTGTCTATATTTAACCAATTTCTTATTAATGGGCAGTCTGGTAGTTTCTTCTCAAACCCACGCCCTGGAATCAGAAAGCCTAGGGTTAAAAGCTCAGCCCTACTACTTACTACACAATGCAACCTTCAGGTATTTAAATCCATTGCAGAGTGGGGTGGGGGGGGGGGGGGGCACTACACCCACCTTGGAGGATTGTGGTTTAAGCATGGGAAGAGATACCATTTTCAAAGAACACTCTTTGAGCTGCCAGCACCTTGCTCAAGGATACTGAGTCTTCTTCTCGGGGCAGTGGAAGACACTGGGCCTGGTCTATATTGAGCTTTTTTGAGCCCATACTCCAAAATCTGTGCTGGGAATTTCCTTTCCTTATTGACCCTGCCCCCACCTAGGTCACCCTCATAGTCCTGAGCCTGAGGGAGAGGTTGAAAAGGGCTGGGAGGTAGGCATCATCATACTCACCAGGGCTGGTAAGGAGGGGATGGGTGATGAGCTGGGAGTTTGGCCGGCCATGTTCAGGGCATTAAACTTGGGAACCACTGCAACACTGACTCTCCGGCGGGGCATGTTCTGTGGGAAGAGATGTGACCAGGCCCACTGTCAGGGAGGGAGCAGCACCCACAGTTCAGAAAGGCCTGGAAAATGCCTACTAGTTCCTGATGCTGTAATTACATTCATTGGGTATTTTGGCTTTGGGGTAGTGATGGTGTTGAGGGTTGGTTTGGAAAGAGTGGCCAAAGTTGACCCAAGTTTTCTGTTAGTGGTGAGTGATTTCTTAACATGTTCTTATTTTAGCTTATATCCTAAAGAAATGGAACAGAAATGACCCCCAGTCTCTGGGTAACACCTGGAAAGTATATGGAAGTATACTTCCATAAAAAGTATATAGGAACACCAAGGTTTATGCATCATTCCATGTTCATTTGGGGGATGGTCTAACCAGGGAAACCATGAGGAAGGGAAGGCTGAAGGACAAACTAACAAGTGTGGTAAGCTGAATTAAAGACTCTGTCCAGAGGTTCTCTGGCACCTGTGGTTTCAAGCATGAATGACTTTCTGGTGACTATGGAAACTTCTGTTGTAATCCCCCGGGAATCCTGGTATTCCTTGAACATGCATACCTTTCCCAGTGTGAGGGACATGGACCGCGCTGTTCGAGGGACCCCGTCTTCTGCAGCAAGAGGGAACAGAGAAGAGAACTCAGGTAAATTTTCAGAGTAGTCTCCAGCAGAAAACGGATAGCCTGAAACTAAGCTGAGGTATTGATTGGTCAGAACTGGCCCTCAAGAGATAGCCCAAGAGCCTAGGTGTTGGGAACACTAAGTTTGACACTACCCCCTGAGACAATTATCTGCAGAGTGGGACTTTTCTGGACATAACTTTTATCTTAACTCCTCTGGGCAATATGAGAAACCCATCTTGGGCCTCTGATATCCACCTGACACACTGCACAGTCTCTGGTAATACCCTGGAGAGTGTGTGAAAAATTACTTGTAGCCATACCAAGGCTTATTGGATCATTTCTTGCTCATTTAAGAGATGTACACTCAGGGAAATTATGAGCAAGGAAGGTGTGGTATCAGTAAAGAATGCAAACTTGTTGGCACAGTGGTTACAATAAGTCATCTCTAAAACAATTTGGAACAAAGGAAACCAGCACCCCAGGATTTTCAACGTCTTAGTGCATACATTAAGTGATATAATTTATATAAAATGTTTTGCACCACACCTGGATAATACTGCCACCAGAAAACACCAAAATGTACAGAGAAAGGTTTTTAAAAGCTCAATTTCAGTTTCAGTTTGACCAATATCATTTAGCTTGTATATCTGTTTATCCCTCTTATCTATGTATTGTCCCTGTTTTTCTATTTACCTCACTTCATTGACTTTTTTTTTCCTTCCCACCCTTCCCACCCTGCACATTGATTTAGAAGTTATACATTTTAGTTCTAATCTTTAATGTGCCCACTTAAATTTGTAACATATTACGTGACTTTAAATTTTAAATTAATCAAGATTTCTATTCTTTTCCTAATGAAACCTTAAAACAATAACTCCCTCGAATCTACATTGCTTTTCAGTATTTTTGTTTTACTTTGT